TGGCTCACAATGATCATTAACTCCAGTGCCAGGGATCCAACACCTTAGTCTGCACTCTTGAGAACCATGTGGTACACATATGTACATATAGCTAAAACACTCATGCATATAAAAATAATTTTTAAGAAGATGGTAGACTTAAATAAAATCATATCAATAGCAACAATGAGTATAAAACAGAACACATTCACCAATTAAAAGACAGAGGTTGCAATACTGAATAAAAGGATTACACCCCTAGCCTGGACTGGTACGCAGATCACTAATCCTAGTTTCCTGAAAACCTGAGGCAGAAGTAGCATCAACACTTCTTGAAGTTCTCCCCTAGTGACTTGGTAAGAACCCATCTCAAAATTACAGTAACAAAATGTCAGGGAATGTAGCTCAGTAGTAGGTGGACTGCCAACATGTCCATGAATTCAGTACCCAGTGCCACCAGAAAAGGAAAGAAGTACGATCCTAATTCATGGGGTCTACTAAAATCTACACTCAAGTTATATAGCATGTCTATGTAAAAGGACAGGAAGGCTAAATACAAAAGTGTGAGGATGTCCATATCTGCATCAAGCAAAAGAGATTCTTGATCGGGTCTCATACCAGAAAAAAAGGATATTAAAATGGTAACAGAAAAAAACTGAATCACATTTACAAATTAGTTAAAAGTATTGTTTCTCTTTGACTTTCTTGATTTGTAATTGTACCCAGGCTGGTAACTAGCACTTGAGGAGACTGAGTAAAAGTTTTCAGACATTTGTAAATATTTTAAAACCAAAACCTAAGCATACTTTAAAAACTAAAATGTTCTGCTCTTTGAAAAAGCAAGTGGGGGGGGGTGGCTGGAGACATGGCTGCTCTTCCAGAGGACCTGAGTTCAATTCCCAGCAACCACATGGCGGCTCACCTGTAATGGTATCTGATGTCCTCTTCTGGTGTGTCTGAAAACAGTTACAATGTATTCAAATATATAAAAATAAATCTTTGAAAAAGCAAGTGTACAGAGGTACAAGCCTATAATTGAGTCATTAGAGAGGATGAGGTGGAAGGAATTACACTTCAGATGCACTTGCCTACACAGAACGATCTACCATATCATCCAGTTATATGTATAAGTCCAGTGGATAGACCTTTTGAAATCTAAGTCAACATACAGTGCAGACACCTGCATACCCATGTCTATTGTAGTGTTATTGACAAACACATAAGAGGAATAAAAATATTCTATATCTTAACTGTAGTGGTTACATGGGTATACGCGGTCATCAAAATTCCACAATTAAAATAGATGCACTTGACTATATGTAATTTAGACCTCAATATAAGATTGTTTAAAAGCAAAAACCTTTGTAACTCTAATCGACAAAACCTAGTGAAATGTCCAGCATGCTATTTACTAGAGCATAAGGGTCATGTCCTTAGCCTTAGAAACTGGGTCAAAAACTGACGTAAGCTCGTCTCTTAGTGTATGAGCCAACACCTTAAAAGATGAAGTCTACACAATGTGTAGAAAACAAAGAATCAAACACATTGAGACAAAGTGACTTCTCGAGAGATGGTTCACCAGTTAAGAACATTTATTCTTGTTGTCAAGAACGAGACTTTGATTCCCAGCACCTATATCACAGTTCCAAACCCTCTTATGTCCAGTTCCAGGGGATCTGATACATGCTTCTGGCTTCCATGAGCACACATGCAAAGAAGAAAAATATTCATACAAAAAAAGATAAATCCTTTAAAAAGTGATCTTCAAAAATGTGTATTCTGTGGGGAGGATTTTAGGACCTGAAATTGTATTCTGTTTAAAATTATATCAAAACATTGTATAAGAGTTATTTAATGTATCAACTGTATTGCTATAAAGTACTTTTAAAAACATAAAAATAAAGTACTTTAAAAAAACATAAAGCCAAGATTATGGATTATGAGTGGAAGTATGTCAAACAAAAAGAATAATCTTAAAGTATGACAGATAATTATTTATTGACTTTTCTACTAAAAATTATACTGGTAAAATAAGATAAGTTTAAGAAATAAATTTAATATTTTAATAAAATATTAAAATTTTCTGTACATTAAGGGTAAGCATAATGTTGAAGTGATGTTTTTGTACACTGTGTGAAGGTATGTCTGTGTCCTTCCTTGCCTGCCTAAGGCACCTTCTGATTTGTTAAAATAAAAAGCCTATGACTTACAGCAAAAAGGCAAGATAGGAAGGTGGGACAACTAGCAGAAAGAGAAACTCTGGGAAAGAGAAACGCCTGGGAGATTCCCTGCCTAGACTCAGAGGAAGTTGTACGAATAAAGCCGAGGAGAGGTAACTAGCCATGTGGCAGACATAGAATAATAAAAATGGGTAAATATAAGGTACAAGCTTCTGAGAACAGGTCTAGCTTATGGCCTAGGCATTTAATTAATAAATAATAATTCTCTGAGTTGTTATTTGGGAACTGGGGCATGGGTGGAAAAGCCACAGATACAACATTATGCTACACACACACACACATGTATACACACACACACAAGTCTGACAGGTAGAAGCAGCCGACAGAGGGATGGGCAGTATACCTGGTGCAAGGCTCAGGCTCCTTGCTGTGCTCCCAGTTTAGCTCCTTACAATACACATACCATTTTTTTTGAACAGGAAAAGGATCAAATGTATCTTTAAAAATAAAGCATCTAACTTTCTTGCAAACACACCTCTTTGCTATGACTTCAAGCTCTGAGGACTTCTCAAAGCTGTCAATATGGAACAGTTCAATGTGATGCTGTCTTCCTCCATCTTTATGGATCTCAAGACAAGCACATAAAAGAGTACAGAGGTTTCCTCAGAGTTGTTCCCACAGTATTTGGGACAGCACTAAGAAGCCTGTGCAAAGTACCAGATTTTATGGTCTCTGTACCTACAAGCTGAGAATCATTCTAAGCAAGAAGAACTATCAGTTCCCAGAGTGCTCTGCGACTCTGTCCTCCATCTACAAAGTGGCTATGAATCACAGATAGTGAAAACATGGATCTCAGAACCCTCTTGATGAGAACTACGGCACCATGGACTCTGTGTCCAGTCTCTTCTCTTCTTGTGTTCTTGAGTTGCTAATTTCTTCTGAATAATTCTCTTGGGTTTAGAGTTTTCTTCTTCTGACTTCCATGACTTTCCTTCTTAGGATCTTTGCTGATATGGATTTAATTTATTAATAGTCACTGTATCTTGTTGTTTTTTTTTTTAAATCATTATAATTGAGTAACAGCAGCTATACTAAACTAAAAATGATCTACTTTAATGACTGGTAAAAAGAAAACATTCACTAATTGATTATCTTGTTTAAGAATATATGAAATACTGAAATTAATATAAAACTAAATCCAATCATGTGCTAATTATGTTTATGCCTACAGCAATGTCATTTTTATCTTACCTGAAATCACATGCTGTAGTAAGTTCTGCTCCTCCACCCATAGCCCAGCCTTGAACCAGAGCAACGCTTATTAATGGTAGTCTGTATATTGAAGGAAAAATAGATGTGAGTAATTCTAACTTTAGTGTTCATTTATATACATCATCTTAAAATCTTTAACTTAATTTCGCAATGTTAATAACAGGAACCATCAAGGGCACCAGCAGAAGAAAAAATGGCATGATGCCAAAAACTAGCCGTGTTAGGGGCTAAACTCTAGAGTTTTAGGTTAAAACTCTAGTGCTGCAGCAGGTCAGAAAAGGACCTGCCAGAGTCACTGCCTGGCTTACAGGGAAGCAGACGGTAATTGTCTTCTAAATAAGGAACCTAGGATAGAACCTTTAGCTCTGCAGCAATCAGCACAGGCACTGTGAAACTATTTTCTCTATTTCATGGCTCTACAGCCAGGGTGGGGCTATCATGGTCATATCTCAGGGATAACCTGGTCTAAAACACAGAGCTATGAAATCAAGTATTTAAGACTTCCATCAAAAGACTAAATGGCCATATGCTGCTCCTATAATCTTAGCATTACTTATTGTTTAAACTAAACCTTACTGTTTCTTTTTATAAAGAACCACAAATATAAATACATATATATGGAGAAATAGATATATAAATATCTTGCCCTAACTCCTGTTTGTTTCTACCACACTGGAATATATGTTTGTTTTCTAGGTTAAAACTCTTTTTAAAAGATTATTTTATATGTCTGAGCATTTGGCCTAGGTGTCTATATTACGTACTCTATGTATGTGTCTACAGTCTTCAGGAACCAGAGGAAGATGTCAGAACCGGAGACATTGGTAAACACCTTCAATCCCAGCACTTGAGAGGCAGACACAAATGGATTTCTAAGGGTACAAGGTCATCCTGGTCTAGTGAGTTTCTGCACAGTCAGGGCTATAGAGTTGAAACCTTGTCTTAAGAAATAAAAGTGTATCATGTCAGAACAGTGTGAGAATACTATTAGGTAGATACAAAGTGTTTTCAAAGTATGCATTTTTTATAGATTCTAACCAAAATGGAAAGCTATTGGTCTAACTTGACTAAATATTTTTTAATACACCCTACTCCACTCACATAGAAAGGATTACTTAAATAAAAATAACTTAACCAGATGTTGTGTTACCTGTAATGTAGGCACTTATAAGATAAAAGCAAGAAAATCAGAAGTTTGAGGCCAGCCTCAACTAATAATAAGTCTGTGATCAAACTGGGATACATAATACTGTGCAAATAGATAGATAGATATATAGATATATAGATATATAGATAGATAGATAGATAGATAGATAGATAGATAGATAGATAGAAGAATGAAAAATAAACTTATCTTGAAGAAAGGACTGATAGCTTAGTGATTTAGAGTACTTGTTTTCTTGCAGAGGACCCAGGTTCAATCTCCAATCGCCAACATGGTAGCTAATAATTATCTGTAACTCCAGTTCCAGGGGATCTGATGCCTTCCTCTGGTCTCGGAAGGCTCTAGACACCCAGGCAAAAACTCATTCATATAAAATGATCTTTAAAAGAGAGTTTTAAACTAGAAAAATAAAAAGTAAGTTCCAGTGTGGTGGGAGTAAACAGGAGTTAAGGCAATGATATTTACAACAGTAATATTATGATTCTTATTTTTTTCTAGACTCTCAAATGAGTACTAAGAATACAAAAATTTTGAATAAGCATGCTTAAATATGATTTTTCTTAGTCTTCATAATTTTAAACTGCTTATATTAAGAATAAAAATAATCAGAAAGAGTGTTGGAGAGATGGCTCAGCAGTTAAGAGCACTGACTATTCTTCCCAAGGTTCTGAGTTCAGTTCCCAGCAACATCATGATGGTTCACAACCATCTGTAATGGGATCTGATAGAGATCTGGTATGTCTGAGAACGACAGTGTACTCACATACATAAAATCAACCTTAAAGACAAAATCAGAAAGAGATTCAAAGCGTACTGAGTGTGTAACCTCAAATGCACAGATTTTTTTTTTCTCCCTTCTAGATGCAAAGTAAATCCACTTTTGACAAAAAGCTTTTCAAAGTATTTCCCTATTCAGTTCTTCTGTCATGTGGATTCAGTCTGCTCCCTACGATTTCTCTCCATCCTGGGGGAGTCTTTGCATGTCTCCTCCTGACCAGCACCCTGCCTCTCCCCTGGCATCAGAACTTGCCTTTCCCCAAGTTCCCTGCAATAGCCTCACACTGCTTGCCTCACACTGTTACACCAAATCCTCCTTCCTTCTGTAAACTTCTGTCTTTAAAACTTTTGCCACTTCAGTGAGAAAAATAAATAATCTGGGTTACAGTCTGGCACACCTAATAATTATCTGTAACTCCAGTTCCAGGGGATCTGATGCCTTCCTCTGGTCTCGGAAGGCTCTAGACACCCAGGCAAAAACTCATTCATATAAAATCATCTTTAAAAGAGAGTTTTAAACTAAAAAAAATAAAAAGTAAGTTCCAGTGTGGTGGGAGTAAACAGGAGTTAAGGCAATGATATTTACAACAGTAATATTATGATTCTTATTTTTTTCTATATGAGCACTGTCTCTTAAACTGTTTTCCTATTTTCTTTGTTATTTACAAAACGATTTTCACCTCAAGACCATTTCACTCTATTATGGTGTAATAATCATCCAGCATTACAACAGCTACAATATAAAGCTCAGCTAGCTGTTTTTAAATGTACAAATAATACAGTAATAAATTATGAATCCTAGTCATTTCACTCTATTATGGTGTAATAATCATCCAGCATTACAACAGCCACAATATGAAGCTCAGCTAACTGTTTTTAAATGTACAAATAATACAGTAATAAATTATGAATCCTAGTCTGTTAAAAATCCTATTTTTAAAAGAAAGATACATTACCTCATAAATCTTGTTAAGGTGTTTTGCATGAACATAGATAAGGCCACTCCATTCTTTAAATAAAAATAAACAAAAAATATGATTATATTGTATAAGAGGTACTAGTTAAAATTCAGATTTTTAAAAGGAACACGGTCAAACTATTTGAAAATCAAAGTTTTCATTTCCAGTTCTCTGAGGCTGAAGTGTAAATGGTGGTATGAGTTCTCCCAGATCTTGAGCGCAGGATGGCACAAGGTGTGCCAGACTGTAACCCGGATTATTTATTTTTCTCACTGAAGTGGCAAAAGTTCTAAAGACAGAAGTTTACAGAAGGAAGGAGGATTTGGTGTAACAGTGTGAGGCAAGCAGTGAGAGTGGCAAGGAAGGCGTGGCAGCGGGAATGGGGCATCCTCAGTCAGCAGGCAGAGGTGAATGGCTATGTTCAGCCTGCTTGCTTTCACTCAGATCAGGACCCAGCCTGCACAAAGTGTCACCCACATTTACAGTGTTCTTCCCATCACAGTTAACTCAAGCTCTATAATTCCTCGCAAGCATGTTCAAAGCTTTATTGCCAAGGTGACTCTAAATCTATCAAGTTGACAACCATGCATGATAATTACAGCTTCCTAGGACAGGGTTCCATGCACAGTAGCTTGGGGAAACGTAAGACTCTCCCACCTGCTACTGCTAAGAAAGTGTATGTAAAATACAGAAGTCAGAATGAGCTCTGATTCCTAGGTTTTTCATAAAAGCCATACTTTTTTTCAACCCAGTATAATCTGGCTTCCAACCTTGTCCCAAACATTTTAATACTCCATTTGTCAAAATAAATGAGTTTTCCTTACTCCGTAACATCTTCTCGTCAAATTAACATTAGTATCTTGACTCTGGTCCTCTCTCTAAGAACAGGTTTTACTCCTGACTGTTTACCTGCTATGGGACTGCTTCTTTGCAGTCTTCTCCCTTGACTCCTCCCACTCAGCCAATCCCCTAGATGTCTGGACTCTCCCAAACCCAGGCCATAACTCTCTCTCTCTTATTCATTCGCTCTCTTTTCTTTGAAAGCTTCATCTGCTCCCACTGCTGGCTGAATGTCTACTAGACCTCTCCACTTTCAACCAATCGTTCCTCAGGCTCAGCACTGCTAAACTTACCAGCAGTAAGAGCACAGTCTGGGTTGTTTTTGTTTGTTTTTTGGTTTGTTTTGTTTTGGTTTTGGTTTTTCGAGACAGGGTTTCTCTTTATAGCCTGGGCTGTCCTGGAACACACTCTGTAGACCAAGCTGGCCTCGAACTCAGAGATCCGCCTGCCTCTGCCTCCCAAGTGCTGGAATTAAAGGTGTGCGCCACTACAGTTTTAGTTCTAACTCGTAGCAACAGCATACATGTGAGCAAACCATGACAATGAGCTTACTTCCTCATCCACAGGAGTAAGGAATAGATACAGAAACTGGCTGACAGTACAGCGGGAAAGACAACCATCTGTCCATTCTGTAGGCTGCACACACCCAGGCTGCTTGGTTTCTAGAAGCATTAGCCATGGTCAGCAGGCTCAGAATGGTGATGCTATTACCAATTCCTCTAGCTCACAAAATCCTCCTCATCAGGACCAAGCTGGGCCTCCTCAGCTCCTCCTTTCAATTATTGCCAATATTTACTTTCTGTTTTCATTTCTGTTTAAACTACACTAGTCTGGACATGTTCCTCAGCTCATGGGCTTAAAAGTTAAAAAAAAAAAAATTAAAAACCCCAAAACTTTACTTCCTAACCAATTTTTCTGTATTTAGTTTCTTCTTCTTAGATATAATCTCCATCCTGCTGCCTGGTAACCCTTCCTGTAGGATAATGATTTCCAGTCACCAGCAGAATGAACTCTAAGCTCTTGAAAAGACCAACTTGCACATTATCCTTAAGTCTGTTACTAACATCATTGTTAACTCCTATACCCTTCAACCAAGAATCTTAACTTCAAACATCTGGCAATCCTCTAAACACTATGTGCATAGCATACTACATCATATATAGCAACACATAACACAGACAAACATGCACACACTCACATGTACACACACTCTATTTTGCTCATACCAGCATACACATCACACATATACACACACACACAAGCATGCACACACAGATGAGTACACATACTGTTTTGCTTATATCAGCCCATCATATAATACACACATAAGCATACACACATATGGACACACATTTACTGTGTTTTGCTCACATAAGCCTGTCATATAACAAACATGCATACACGTATTCAAGTGTACACACACACACACACACACACACGCTCCCTGTTTTGTTCACACCAGCCCATCATCTGTTTTTACTAGCTAGGAGCTAAGGAATATAACAAGCCCTCAATAACCTTAATGGAACAACCATTAAGGTATTATGTTCCCCACTCCCCAACACACACTTTCTTTCATGCTTGAAGTAACCAAAATGAGTGTCAATGAAGAAACAACTAAATTCAATTGAGGCACAGAAATGTGGGGTGACTTTACATAGGAGAAGGGGCAATGGAAAATGCTAGGCTTATGCAATAAGTTACTTGGTGCTGACAGTATGTAACAATACAATACTAGTAAAAATTACATAATGTAAAATGTGTTTTGACTATACATACATTGTAAAACAGGTAATTAATTCTGGTCCAAAATACCTAGGAATGACATTTAATTTGGTTAGGTAGGCATAGTGGCACACACCTTAAACCCTAACACTTGGGAGGCAGAGACAGGAGAATCTCTGTGAGATCCAGGCCAGCTTGGACTAGAAAATGAAGAAGCAGAACAGGAGGAGGAAGAAATATTAATTCTTCACCCAAAGCTGCAGGGTCAAATACTCATTTATTTCCCAGAGTTGAAAGAAGAAAAGAAGTCAGGGGTCTAGAGACTATGTCCCAGTAGTTAAGAACACTAGCTACTCCTCCAGGGACCAGGGTTCAATTTTCAGCACCCACACTCTAGCTCACAGTATGTGTAACTTCCATTCCAGGGGATCGAATGTCCTGCTGTGTTTTCCCTGAGAATAAATGTGATACTCAGGCACACACAAACATTTTTTTTTTAAAGTTAAAGAAAGAAGTCAACAACAACAAACAGTACCAGGCAAGTAGAGGACAGTACCACGGAATAGCCACAGAAAAGAAAGCTCAGGTACAGGCATCTGGGAAGCACTGGAGAGAGGACTGGAGAGCTACAACAGATGTGGTTTTCATCTGTCTATATCCTGAGAGCCAGCTTCACCTAGGACATCCCAATAATACAATAACAACCCTGACAAAACATGTACAATCCTCAGTGTGTGTACAGAAAGCAGGAGCATCAATCTCCTCCACTCTTGCATGCATCTTGAGTATAAAAACTCCCATCGTGCAAAGTATCTCATTCGATGACCATAAGTACCTGTTTTATGGAATAGTCAACTCCTTTCAAATTCAGAGAGATTTTTTGAAAATAAGTAACTTGTCTATATATTACTACGGCTAAAATGAAATTGTACCAGAGTGGCAACAAACCCAAAGCATTTAGACAGAAAGTTGGGGGATGCTGTAGACATTTAAGCAACAAAGACCTAAACAGTAATTTGGCCGAAGAGTAACAGAGGAGGTCAGGGAGAAGGACACTTTTCACAGTAGGTTAAGACTGTGAAGCTTTCTAAGCATTAAGCCTTTCCTTGACACATTACACCCACTTGCTGCAAAGTAAGCAATTTTATGTTTCCCTACACACTTAAATTTACAACTGTGGACTTTGATTTCTTCAGCTCTCTAAAGGGATTTTTCAAAGTCTCTAGAATATCTGTGGCATAAAACCATAATCTTACAAATGAATTCTATGTACACATTTTTTTATGGTTTGCTTCCTTTCCATAACTCTTCAGGGCTAACTCTTGTGTTGCATTAGTCCTTCTCCTGCCTACCATAGCTTCGAGTAAGATGCAACTGTGTAACAGGGACAACTGTAGTTCTTTTCTTCGTCATGACACAAAAGAGCCCAAACAAAACCAGCTTCTTAAGTGACCTGTGACCATACAAGGAAAGAGCTTAGGAACAGAATATTGCCAGGGATGACAATCATGGGGATATGAAGGTTTCACTGGATTTTCTCTTTCTGTGGACATCTGGAAATTTTCTTTAAAAAATTTAGTTGACAAAATTGCAGTGGCAAAACAACAACGTAATTATATTTAAAAGATAAGTTATTTAATAATCTTTTAAAGCATTTTATATTATTTAGAGGACAATCGTAATCCACTTATTAAATTGACATATATCTCAGTTACTTCAGCATTCCCAGAAATCATATTCACCAAACATACAGACATCACTGACACATCTGTAACACAAAGCATCAACATGCTGGATCCGGAAGAGCCTCACTGAGAGAACCCAACTACAGTGTGAACTCTCAGTAAGAGTCTCATGGTCTCAGCTGCAAGTGTTAGATGATTTATACATTCACAGAGCTGCAACTCATGTTAAGTGTGTGAGCTCCTCAGCTCCAAGACTTTAAGTTTCATAATTACAAAACTTATCATTACTTCCCAGTGCATTCTTAACAAATACAGTCTATTTGAAAAACTGGTTCAGAAATTTTAAACACACCAGTTCTCCACTTGTCACTTTTGAAATTATCATATGACAAAAATATTCTATACTCTACAAATATTATTTTAACTCTGAATATTACCTTTTAAAAAGTTGGATATAATGGCTCATATCTATAATCCTAGCTCTCAGAAGACTGAGACAGGAGGATTTCAGGGACTTTCAGTTTAGTCAATGATACATAAAGTGCATAAAGGAGTTCCAGGATAGTCTGAGCTACAGAGTAAGATCACACACATGTGCATGCTCATACACACGGTACATACAGGGCTCGAGGAACTTTCACAGGTGAGAGACCTAAGGAATCATGATGGCCTGAATCAGACTCCAAAGCAGAAACGAACACAACGAACCCATACCACTAATTGATGGACTTTCTTTTCTCTCCTCTCGTATACCACTCTGACATGTAAAGATAAATACATATCTAATGTGCACAACTTGAGTTAGTAGACATCACCAATTCAACTATCACCACCCATTTGTGCTGTAGGTATATCCACCAATTCAAGTATTTTCTGCCATTTGTTTTATCATCAGTGTAGGGTGTGTGTATAAGAACATTGATGGATGGACTGTAGCATTGCTTGTTACAGACAATATGCTATAGCACTAATTTGTCATGTGTAATGGAAATTAAATTTCCCATATTTTACCCTTAGTACCTGTGAGATCACCATTCTGCTCTGTGCTTCAGTGAGCTTCACTATTTGAGAGCATGCATCCTAGATCATAGAGCTGAGTTTCATCAACAGTAAAATACCAATGTTGGCACATAAGTTGTTGACAAATCTTTACACTGAAGGAATATGCTAAAACCAAGGGCAGAGAGTACAGGTAGTGGGGGCTCAGTACTATTCTTACAACTTTCTCACAATACCAAAATTTCTAAAATTTAAATTTTTCTTTAAAAATATTCAATCAATTACAAAAGAAGAGGTGTAGGAGAAACTGCTGGAGGGAAAGAACAATACTAAAAGCAAGAGACACTCATTTTCCAAAACACAGGGACATCCTAGAGTGCTCCGCTTGGCCCACAAAGATGAGTCATCTCAGCGTGTCAGCCAAAATGTCTTTTATAGATACCTTGTAGGGAAGACCCTAGCATTGTCTTGTTTTCCTTACAAATTTCCCTTATTATTCCCCTTATAAATCTTTATACTTGATCACAAAACAAAATAAACCAAATCAAACAAAAACTACTGTTTGAAGAGTTATAACAATAAGCACATAGGTAAAACATGACTTTCTCAGCCATGTCTGATGAGAGCAGTCTCCCACGGCCTATGTACTTACTTCTGGAGTTGAGAGTGCCTTCACAGCATTCAGATCAGATCCTGAGCAAAAAGTATTTTTTGCTCCATGGACAATGAGGCCTTTTCCTTCTGTCCAATTTTCTAATTCAATTACTTTTTCCAAAAGTTCTAGCATCATGATACCTATCAGACGAGAGATGAAACACACACACATCTGAGAGATGATAAAAACAGTAAAGTGCTAAGCAAGACTGCTAGGACAGATACTTCATAAATATTTACAGTAGATTTACCAAATGCTTATTGTTTTGATACAATGGAATATACAAACAAAGTATAAAAAACAGATGCTGCCTTAAAATTTTAAATTCATTACTCTATGTATCTTAAGAAACCAGACAAATGTATTTAGGTAGAAAAATAAGAATGTATCATACATGTCCTAGGAATAGAAAACTTAGACTATATTATAGTGGACACTGTGATAAGGAAAACTTCCTTCTTATGGTAAAGAGAGCAGCTACATGTTGTCTCTGAACAGGCTCAGTGACCACTATGAGCAGAACATAGCTGTAAGATTTTATGAGTCTCCAGGGACAAGAAATCTACCACAAAGTGAGATTCGAACCGTCTTCTCAGCAGCATGAGTGAGTGTTCAGTTAGGTCTGGAAAGGACTAACGAACACAGAATAAACAAAGGCCACGGCTGAAAACCTGACACACCTGAGGCACAGTATAAAATTTCTTTACAGATCTACCAGCAGTAAAGTCAATGGCTTACACATGAGATTGTTATCATATGGAAACAGCAGAGAGTGTCCTTTCAAGTTCTAATAAATAACCTACATCTATGCACATCATGGCTCATAATATCTGCAATATGATTACTGGGATTTAAAAATACTTCTCATGGGACTTGGTTTTGGAAAAAAATACCCCATAAGGTCAATAATTACTATTCTGCCATAACCAAAAGTGACAGGGCTACAGTAAATGTTAGATCAATGTTATGAATTCACAAATCACTAACGAAGTCATCCTTTCTAAGTGCTACCTACTTAAAATAGAAACTTCTTAAAATAGAAACTGCTTAAAAATAATCTTGCGTGCAAAATATTTACAGTTTGGGAGACAACAATCTATACATTTAGGGTAAGAATAAATCTATGTAGACAAACCTGTATCTTCAATCACAAATGATATTTAAGTGCCTAAACAATAATGGTGACCATGAATATAAAAACTATACCACTCATTCATTTTAAACTCAGTCTTCATGAGGACTCAACCCTAACAAAGAATTACAGGTAGTTAAGGAATGTTGGAAATGGGAGAAATATCTTCTCCAGGGAAGAAAGAGTGCTTGGTTATCCAAAACCAAATGGTCAGTGTTTGAAAACATATACAGACAAGTAACATTATACAGACTGAGCAGGTTACACTTATGCATTCAGGGATACAAACACACCACACACACACACACACACAGACAGACACACACACACAGACACAGGGAGGGAGAGACAGAGAGACTGAGAGACAGAGATAAACAATTAATGAAAAAGAGTTCATGAACATAAACTTAAAACAAGGCAGAGTGCCAGGCCATGGTGGTGCACACCTTTAATCCCAGCACTTGGGAGGCAGAGGCAGGTGGATTTCTGAGTTCGAGGTCAGCCTGGTCTACAGAGTGAGTTCCAGGACAGCCAGGACTATACAGAGAAACCCTGTCTCAAACAAACAAACAACAACAACAACAACAAAAAGGCAGGGTGTATATGGGGGAGCATATAAAGAGGACAGAGAAGAGGGAAATGATGTAGTTATATTATAATCTCAAAAAGTAAAAATCTTAGAAATTAAAACATATTAGTAGGCAATGGTAGAAACTAACAATGACAGTTATAACAGTGTACAGAATATCTTTGAAATCTTTTCCCCTCGCTTCCTAGTAGTATTTGCTAACAATAAACATATCAAAATTTAATATGGTTAACACAGTACAATGGTAAAACATATTGACTTAGCAGTGTCCATTTTTATGAAGATTTGTATTCATGACATAAAAATTATCATATGGATAGTTACAAAAATATTTCTGGTTCTCATTATAGAAAATGATATCTGTGTACATATATTCTACAAAGAATACCAAGACTTTCAAAATGTTTTTTTCATCAGGAAAAGACCAGAAAAACCAGGATAGTAGGCTACGACTTAGTGTCATTCTGTGTCTGGAGAAGGCAGGCCTCTCATACCTGAGAAGGCATTCATTTTATTAGGATTGTTTAGTGTCAGAATGCCAATGCCATTCTGCTTCTTCTGAAGGTCAATGGATCCACCAGGAAACTGCTCCAGTACCTTCTTTACTTCCTCCTCATGGAAGCCGTGAGTTGTGTTATAAAGCGACACTCCTGTTTGTAAGAGTTTTGTTCTTACAGACAGAGATGAAGCCAAAAGACTTTTTGCCATTTCTAGAAAAGAAAAAAAGTATACAGTTGTTGCAATGAAGAGACCCATTCTTATGTCTAAATTTCCACCCAGAAGTGATTATTAATATTATTCAATGTTAGTATGTTACACATATCAGTAATTTTCTTTTCCTCTCACAAGGCTAATGGATGTTATGGGTTAGAACTAATATATTCTTTCAGATTTAGAAGTGCTTTACCAGAAAATACCAAAAAAAATATTAGCAAACATAATTGAGAAAACCCAGTTTGACTGGTGTCATCCTACACATTACCAGAGAAAGACTGAAATGTGAACTCTCTGTAGGTGGAAACAAAATGTGTCTGCTTCTACTGGTGCTGATATTTTGACTTACTCAATTATGTTCTCCTTCATTTCCTCTCTACTGGTCAGTCTTATTCCCTCCACAACACCCTTCATGTTTTGGGAAAAGACATTTGAAGCTACTTTTACCCTCTCACCAAGAGAAGGGCACACAGAGTAGGTGTCATGGTTCTGCTGGATCTGCTTCTGGTCTAGAAAAACGTAAGTTCTCAAGATCGAGGATTCAAATTGAAAAGTTGAGTCGCCTACATTTCCCGAAGTAAGCCTAATGAATTTAGTACTCTTACCAAGTGTGTGTGTGTATGTGTGTGTGTACGTGCACTCACACTCTGCAAATTATTTGGTTTTGAGTATGTTTCAGTATAGAGATAACTCAACTAGGAAATTAATTTGAAGCAAAAGTTCTGATCTTCCACAAACTGATTATAATATCAAACGCAAATGCTAAGAAATTTGATTATGATTTAGATGGGTATTTAAAGAATATTAATTTGTCAGTATTTTTACAATGCTTTGTTTAGGAAAAGGACAAGAAATTAAAGTATAAAATATAGAGTTAAGGCTTAGAAATCATTGGCCTTTTAATTGTTTTTATAGGTTGGTAGAATCTATATACATATGTATGTACATATACACACACACACACACACACATTTGGTAAGAGGTCGGCCTACTTTACCTAGACATATTGTCTAACCCTCCAACATCTGGCATGGTTAGTATAAATGGTATCAGATCATACCCCTTCACCCTCAAATTACTGAACAATTAGATATTATGTAATGTATTGCTTTGCCTCGTTAGAATTAAACACTTTTCCAAGAAAGTCTTCTACTATGACATGTGCCCATTCTTCTATTAATTCCCCAGTTTTCTCTTCCTCCTTCGTTCTGTGTCTCTCTTTCAACACTGAGCCATCGTTTCTGTACTTCTTTCAGATTCCTTGTCTACACCAGTGTAATTCAAAGAACAGCTCAAGCCTGCTAGACTCACTGACCGAAATGTTGGAAATCCAATTGTAACAATGTGCTAGTAGCTTGTTGTGCATACTTTCATCCCAATTTTAAATACATAAACTCAATGGTTAAAATCATTTACCACTGATCCAGACAACCCAAGTTTCCTTTCCAGCTGGTAATTCCAGCTCCAGGAAACCTAGGTCTCTTCTGACCTCCCATTCTTGTGCCTGCCCACCACACCCCCATATACACTATTAAAAATAACTTTTTTTAAAGATACATGATGGCTCTGGTGCTAAGATGATAAGATGTTAGACATTGGTGAATTAGTGTAGTATCTGAAAATATAAGTAAATAGAATTTAAGAGTCTAGTGCTGTCTTAGAGTAGACACACATCAACTGCTTATATTTGCTTTAATCCTGGGAACACAAGGCAATGAAAATGTCTGAGTTACAATGTTATGAAACTTTCTTCAGGGGGAAAAATTAAATTAGGTCATGTGGTAGGTCAGTAAAGCAGCTGTCCTATCAGGAAACACATCATTCCAGGTGAACATGCTCACTGCCTCTGGCCATCTGGGACCAAAGGTTTCCCTCTCCAATTTCTACATGCTAGTTCTTCTATTAAAAGTCCTTAAACTGTACTAGAAAGCTAACATAATCCCATATTTAAAACAATTAGCATAAGGAAGTAAACAAAGAAAATTCAGAAGGTACTTTAGAATGAAATATATAACCTGTTTTTCAAGTTTTCACATTGCACACCACCCACACCTCTCCTCACACACACCAAAGGAAACAACTTTCATTTCCTCAAATCTTGATTTTTATCATCCCAAATTTCAGCACATACACTGTTACAGGTTTTTGGTTTTTTTTTTGTTTTTTTTACCAGAGAGTAATTTCAAGCCATTTTCTCTAAGTTCCTAGACAACATAAAATCCATCTCCACTACCCAACAGCTGTGGTCACCTCAAACACTATCATTAACTTCTTTTTTTTTTTTTTTGACAAGTCGACCTACTAAATTCAGATGCCCCGAAGGCATCCGAAGTGCTGAGAACTGTGCCTGGCAAACAGGAATTTCCAAGAATTTTCTTAAAACAATTTGGTAGGGTTAAGGCCCTGACTGACCACAAGGCTAACTCACCATCTAGACGGTTCATTCTTGTAATTCACCTTTTTGCCTTAGTGACAAGTATCCTCTGTAACGCCTCAGCTAGCTGTTAACTAATTGGTTCTCAAGCCATAGTTCAATAAGGTATCCAGGAAACAAACAAAAGAAACCTGTCATCTTCCCAAGAATTCACAATTCTTCTACCTGTCAGGCCCCTAGAAGGGTGCTATTTCTTTAAGTCTTTGATCAGTCTTGGTCATATCTCTAAACGTGTAGCACCGAGAACAAGAAACAATAACACGTTAGAGAATCCGACGTGAAAGTTAGGAAATGAAGACATGCTAAAGTGTGATGTCCTCGCCTTTCCAATTCACAACTCCTTGGGATCTGATAAAAGTGGGGACGGGGTAGGATACCTTTAGTAGTTCCCATCAAAGTTGAGTTGCTCCTCTTGTTGAAAAGTTGGCTTCACGAAACAGAGATGTAAGAAATGTTTTAAACAAGCAAGATCATTTCCTCACAAGTAGACAGATATTCTAGAGATCGCATGGAACATTACCTCAGTTCTCACAAGGGATTCCAAAGTATTCAGAAATTAGCTCAGAGTTGACCTCAAACCTCCTCATCCTTTTTGAACTTGCCAACGCCGCGGGTTTCCCACGTTCTCTGTAACTAACGCCTCAGGACTTGCCAGAGCCCTCCGGAACCTCGCGAGCCATGCACGGCGGCGCCAGAGCCAGCAGAGGGCAGTGCGCCTGCGCAGTGAGCCCGTGCGCAGCCGCGCGCCCCTCGCTCGGGATTCGCCCGGAAAGGCGCTCCTCCCCCATCGCGCCACAGCACGTTGGCCGGGGTGCTTGGAAAAGGGGGGCATCTCCGCGGCCTGACACTCGGCGCAGCCTTGCCGCCGGCCTGCAGCCCCTGCCTCTGATTTCCCTTTGCGTGTTCTGAGACCCTCTTCCTCTTCCCGCACCCCACCTTCCGCTGCGCGCGACCCTCTTCCGGCTTCCACACGGCTCCCGGGCCTGTTTCCGCTCCTGGTATGCTCCCTGAGGCCCTTCTTTGGCCAGAGCCCCTGGGTTAGCCGAAGGAACTCTGGTGGCCCGGAAGTCCCGCCCCTTCCCATCAGATTCTTCATTTCTGGAACTTTTTCCCCAGATGTTGCAAGCTAGAGGAGGGAGCTCAGGTTTTATCCATGATTGACATTTCCTTGATTTAGGGTTCAGACAAGGGAAAGGAGGCCACCCAAATACTTCCTACCCTGTTTGGCTGCAAATGGAAGAAGGGAAAGATAAGAGAAGGGGAGAGAAAGGTAAAGAGCACTGAGCCTTCTTGGGTTTAAGAGTTGCTGTGGGCAGTATTTTGTCGTCTATCAAAAAATATTTAGCAGATTTTTGTGACATGATTGTGTCATGAGCTCTTCAAAGACATGAAGCAAACGAAAACAATCCTCCATTGAAATTTTATCACAGAGAAAGGCCTCAGATTAAGTTTTAGGTAGATGATATCAAAGATAATGTGGTTGAAACATTTTAATCAGTAACTGCAAACAGTAGGAAGAGAGAGATATCTGCTCCTTGTTGGGCAGACATAGAGTATTTTAAAAGAACTTCAGAGTTCAATAAGCAGAGAACTGAAAGGTACAGCCTGTTAGTGTACAGGCTGCTAAATTTTTAGCCCAGCCAAATTTTTGAGTTTGTTTACTACAGAAATCTAACCTACAGGAACTGAAGGACAAAAGGTTCTTGGTTGCTTCTTGTGTCCTTGGAAGTGTCAAGAACTGTGTATGAGAGAGATTTACACTCATAAAGTTTGATTTCTGGTAACTGTTAAGGTAAAGAACTCTAAGCTTGATGATGAACAGTTATCCCAGCACCTTCAAGGACACCTTCAGCTATATAGAGTTGAGGGCCAGCCTGGGCTACTTGAAATTCTGTGTTTTTGTTTTTAAAAGGAAGGAAAGGGGAGAAAAGAAGGGTGTCCAGAGATCATCTCTTGGGGGTCAGTTTTGTCAGCTCTGTGCCTTGGTTTGGATGGCACTCTGGTATTTGGAGGCTTCTGCAGTTATCGTTGATAATGATCAAAGAAATAAAAACGTGTATTTCTGGTGGGATGGATATATTGTAGCAAAGCAGTGGGACAGAAATGATGATCAGTTTATAATACAGAGGTTTGTGTAATAAGGAAGAATCATAAGTCTAGGTTAGCTGAACTGATAGGGAAAAGTCATTACTAGAAGTGTTTAATTCTAGTATTTTTTCAAAAGGTAGAGAGTTTATTGTAAAGCCAAATATAAGTGAGGTTTGGGTTACCCCCAGTTCTTTGTTCCAATATGGGAGCAATTTTATGAAGGTGTTAGAATAACGGACCAAAAATAAAGTTATTTTCCACATACATTGGTGGGAATATGAGATCAGAGGGGTAAAAAGATCAGGGAGATTTTAAGTCTCGGATCTTAGGCCGCAGACTCTATAGGCCTCAGATGATAGCTGGCAGCAACCTTAGCAGTTCTACTGGTGGACACTATTAGTTTGTCTATTCCAAAAGACTTACCCAATGACCATAAAATTGTTAGATCATATAGAGAGGTGGTAGCAAATAACTACTAACTAAGCTAAAGGTGACCAAAGATTGTCATTGGACCCTGGACCTGTAACATTTCAGCCTCTCCCCAAGTGTTGAAGGCTTTAATCAGGTAATTGACTTTGCAAAAGAGTCAGTGTTCCCTGTGGATCTTTCCAGTGGCTTTTGTCATAGTTCCCCCCAGTTGAACATCCTCAATGGAGAAACCACATACTAATTTTTGTTTGTTGCTAGGAAGGCTCATGTCTAGTATCTGATGTAAATGGGTTGCGTAATAACCAGGAAATCAGTCTTCAGGAGAAAGACACTAAGGCAAAACTCCAGAATCCTATTGTGAGGATCTACTGGAAATTTTGATTTAGATCTGGTTTATCTTTTTCTCTGTATTTGTAGGAATAGCCCCTAAAATTAATCGAAACACTGGCCTAGCAAGGTGATGGTAGCAGAAGAGGAGAACAGAAAATGTAACCAATCAAAATTATTCTTTTAAAACTAGATTGATTGTTTTCTCCTGTATGGGTTATTTGTGTTCTATGGAGGATTTTTATATAGAGTATTTAAACTGATCTCCTGACTTTTCCTTTCAATTTTTCTTTTGGCTAGCCTGATCTTCTTTCTTATGTGATAAGCAATATACGCTGTTAGAGTGTTCAACAGAAAGTCTCTTGACAATAGTGACCTGACAGAACACATCTGTTACTTTTCTCCTTGACTGGATGTGTTTATTGTGTTCCAGGCAGCTGTCCAAGATTGAAAGCCTTTGTTCTTCTTGTGTAACTGTCTGATACTATCTTTACTAAGTAGACTCCTATGGAATTTAGATATTATACTACCCTGTCTTTTGTCAGTTTTCTAAGTATTTCATGAGTTGCCAGTTCTCAAAGAATTTACCAGCAAGTTGAAATGGAATGGGTAAAAGGGAGGAAAAAAGTTAAGAATTTAAAAGCATCTTAGGAATTTGAGATAGAGAAAAAACTGAACACTTGGTGAACTGAAATAAACAAATCATAGTTTATATTTCATATACAGTCCCCTCTGAATGCATATGTATGATTTAATCATTGTATTAATCAGGGTTCTCTGGAGTCACAGAACTTATGGAATGAATATATATAAATATATACACATATATGTACAAATACACATATATATGTATATATAATATGTAACATATATGGAACATATGCACATGAACACACATATATGTGACACATACACATACATATATGGGAATATATATATAAAGGGAATTTATTGGAATGACTTACAGGCTGGAGTCCAACTAACCCAACAATGGCCAGGTGTGAATAGAAAGTCCAAGAATCTAATAGTTTTTCAGTCCCACGAGGCTGTGTATCTCAGCTGATCTCTTGTATATGTTGGCATCCCAAGAAGAAAGCTTCAGTGCCACTGAAGAAACAGATACACTAGCAAGGCGAGGACAAGCAGGCAAAGCCAAAATGTTTCCTTCCTCCGTGTCCTTATATAGGCTTCCAGCAGAAGCTGTGACCCAGATTAAAGATGTGTTGTCCTGCCTCAAGATCTGGATCAAAAGGTTGTGCCTTTCTACTTGAAAGGATTGCCCCACTTCAAACCAAGATGTGCCCTCCTTTTCTGTATTGTAGTTTATTCCAGATTTAGTCATGTTGACAACCAAGTACAACTATCACAGGATTATCTTGAATAAATTGCAATAAACTTTTAGACTAAACCATATACAATAAAATTATAAGTGCTTTGAGAAGACAGGAAGGTAACAGATATGTAGGTTGACCCAAGATACTTAATTTGTACTCGCTGCAACCTTGTAGAAAGCCAGAAAGCTTGTTCCTAATACTCCTAAACCAAGTAGTTTTCTTCTTTCCCTACCTCCCTCCCTCCCTCCCTCCCTCCCTCCCTCCCTCCCTCCCTCCCACCTTTCGTTCTTTCTTGTTCTGTTGTGACCTGCTTATCTCTATGTGCAGCATGCCATTGTAGGTGTATATCTTAGGGTATAGAGAGCTTCTATTGTAGTAACTTTTCTGCTAAGCAAGCAAATACTAGGGAGGGCATGGGAGACACTTCAGTTCATCAAAGTGCTTACCTCACAAGCATGACAACCTAAATATGATCCCCAGAAATCACATAAAAATACTGAGCGTGGTGTTGTGTGCTTATAATCTCATCACTGAAGAAACAGGTATGCTGGCCAGCCAGCCTATCTCACTGAGACACCCCATTTCAAAAGAGGGGGAAGAAAGAGTTCCTGAGGATGACACCTGAGGGTATCTTCTGGCCTCAATGTGCCTGTGTTCCTTGTATTTCATGCTGGGGTTTCACATATGCTCAACAAAGATTGTATCACTTAGCTACACTCCTAATCATACATGCAGTTTTTCTTTTTTATTTTTTCCTCTTCTCTTTCTCCCTCTTGCTCCTGGTCCCACTCGCTCTGGCCCCACTCACTCCAGTCCAAAAAATTTATTTATTTATTTATTTATTTATTTATTTATTTATTTATTTATTATATGTAAGTACAATGTAGCTGTCTTCAGACACCGATATGAGGGCATCAGATCTCATTATGGATGGTTGCTGGGATTTGAACTCATGACCTCCAGAAGAGCAGTCAGTGCTCTTAACCACTGAGCCATCTCACCAGCCCCCTGAGCCATCTTAACAGCCCCCTGCAGTCTTTTAATGTTTACTTTTCTTAAGAATCTGACTCAAACAGTGTTCAATCATGTGGCACAAAATTTATTATAATGTGCTTATTTATTTTCTTGTGCTTTTCCTTAACTTATCTTCCATTTGACCATCTCTTCCTTTCTATAATAAAAGGTCCTTGCTAGTTTCTTTAACTATTATAAGAAGCATATAATTCTCTGCTGCTTTACTTTTTCTTTTAAAATATTGTATGTTACTAGTCATAATAGCTAAATTATAGAATTAGCCAAGATGTTTGTCAGCAGATGAGTAAAACGTATAGATACACACTAGTCACAATAACCAAATTATAGAATTAGCCAAGAGGTTTGTCAGCAGATAAATAAAATGTATAGATACACAATGAAGTCATATTTACCTATAATGAAGAGTGAAATTGTATCCTTTGAAGAAAAAAAAAAACAACTATATATCATACTATGTAAAATAGTTCACACATACCCCAGAGGAATGGTTTC